CGCAAAAATCTATGTTGTTCTAGAAATGGATGACTTTATAAAATACTAGAGGAAAGAACATAGATTTTTAATAAAAAAATATATGTAAATAATCTAAAATATATGATAATTTTAAATTTTCAAGGGATGTTGTCTCCACCCGCCCACTCGATCCATCCCTAATTACTCAGTCTTTAATTTGTTAAGAAAAGAAGCTTAGGGGCATCAGGATTATCAATTTTATAGAGGATTGACTAAAACAACCAAGATTGTTTTATATGACTTGTGCTTTTATTTTCTCAGAACTTTATATTCTTCCACTCGTTTTGACTAAAACCACCCTTAATATTTAACTTTGCTTTTGCGTCTCACATCTACCAAAGCATTTTCCCTCTCAATCGAAATGGGGTGCATTGTTTTCTTGTTTGCTTGCTCTTTGCTTCTTCTGGTGTCTGCTTCAATGGCGTCTGGTGCAAGAACAATGGAGCACACATTCCATGTAAGCGACATGGCTTTTAAGCTAAGCTTTTAGCCATTACAGTTTGAGCTTATAGGCAGATAATGGAGTTCAACTTTGCCTGCAGGTGCAAAATTTGACTGTTAATAGGCTATGCAATCGCCAGGTGATTACAGCAGTAAATGGTAGCTTCCCTGTTCCCAGATCCGAGTTCGAGAGGGTGACTTACTCATTGTTCATGTCTATAACAAATCACCTTACAACTTGACTATTCACTGGCAAACCTTCGCGGAAAATACAATACAATTTACTCAGTCTTCACAAAATTTGCTTGTTCACTTGTGAGTTGTGACATTATCATTAGACTTGTTCTTAAATGTTGTCTTTTCGTGACGAAAACATCAATGTCCATACTTGGTCAAATCGGGTTTGGTTTTATCAATTCAAAAGAAAGATTTTAGGTACGAACAAGTGCATCATATTTTAACCATTTGCTGATGACTGCTGAAACCAGGCATGGGATTTTCCAGAAACTGATTGCCTGGGCTGACGGACCTAGCATGGTGACTCAGTGTCCAATTCGCCCCGGAAATAAATACGCCTACAAATTCAAAATCGTTAAGCAGGAGGGAACCCTTCGGTGGCACGCTCATGCCTCCGCGCTCCGAGCCACCGTGTACGGTGCACTCATCGTCCGCCCCAGAGCTCGCAACTCTTACCCATTCCCAAAGCCCTACAGGGAAGTTCCCATCCTATTAGGTATATGTAACTACAGGGAACCTAAGATTTTACATTCATATTCATTAATCATGTTCCATGGGGGACTCTAGACTTTTAGTTAAAAAAATAGAAATGCGGTCGCAGGTGAGTGGTGGAATGCTAATATCATTGATATCCAAAACGAGGCTCTAGCCCTTGGCCGTGGTCCTAACGTCTCTGATGCTTTTACAATAAATGGGTTGCCCGGTGATCTCTATCCATGCTCTAGACATCGTAAGGGTATGGGTACGTTTGGTTCACTGAATGTAAGATTACCAGTTAAAATAAAAGATTACCGGGAATAGGATTACTGTGAATGTTATATTTTGTGTTTGGTTGGTTTAGTAGGAATATAAGATTACAGTGTTTGGTTAAAGGAATAAAAGATTATTATAATGTATATTTTACCAAATTGTCTTTATTATATATTTGTTTTTTAACAAGTTGAATTATACTATAATATTACTATAATTAATTTATATATTTTCTTTAAAAAATTTAAATTCATAAAATTTATATAATTTTTTTTTACAAAATTGAAAAGATAAATAGGTTTAATGAAAGAGTAAAATTTTATTTTAACCCTTGAATTTCATATAAAATTTTAATTATAGACTTTTTTTATAAATCTAAAATAGTTTAAAAATAAATTTGTTGGATAACCTTCGTACAATTTTTATTATTCAACGACAGAAGAATATTTTTGAAAAAATATTTAAGGGCATTTTAGTCCAAAACGTCGGTAATCCAACAATACCTAAGGAAATGGGGTAATCACATTCTCGGTAATATACCCCAAAAAATCTACTGTTGGTAATAAAAGAATATCGGGAATAGAATTACTGGCCAACCAAACGGGAGAATGGAGATTTCATTTCTCCGATAATCCTTTATGCCGTGAACCAAATAACCCCTTAATGTATTGAATATAAATTATTGTTGGTAATGCTTAGAATAAAAAGCATGTAATTTCATATTGGGAAAAGAAATACCTTGAGATGGGTTTATAAGGAGCTCTTCCTTTCCTTCCTCGTTAAATGTAAAGCTACAAGATCATCGTACGTGCGTCGTTATCGTTGTCATTGTCGATGTCCATTTTATGGTGGTGTATCTTACCCATAGATACCAAGACCTTTAGTCATTTTGAATAATCCAAAAATCTCAAAACCATTTCTGTCTACGTTTTCTGTTGAGTTTCAAAGTTTCTTGCTTCCTTTCGAGTTCTAAGAGAAGAACAATATTATCTTCGTCCATTTCTAAACTTCGGGTGTATGATTTTTGAAGTGATTATATTAACCTCAAGACATCGTCTAGTATATCGATGATATCAATTTGGGTGAATTTACTTTTAAGATAGTGATTCACCATGACACAATTTGCTAATTCCTTTCATTTGTTCTATCAATACTAATTCCTCATTTTACAATAATATTTAAATAATTATTAATTTAGTTATATGGTTACCGATGACGAGAAATGTACAAGCTTGAGATGGAGCAAGGGAAGACCTATCTCTTACGTATTATCAACGCTGCACTCGACAACCAGAAATTTTACAAGATAGCCAAACATAAGATGACTGTTGTGGCCTTTGATGCTGCTTACACCAACCCCTACGTCACCAACGTGGTGGCTATCGCCCCTGGGCAGACAGTCGACGTTTTGCTAACGGTGGATCAGCCGATTGGCTGGTATTACATGGCCGCAAGAGCTTACGCAAGTGCAGTTGGTTTACCATTTGACAATACTGCAACGAGGGGTGTCATCGTCTACGACGGTGCACCATCTTTAACAAAGCCGCTAATGCCGGTCTTACCTGCGTTCAATGATCCCCACGTAGGAATGTAAATGAGATGAGATAAATCGCGAGTTACTGGAGATCGATTCAGTCAAAGCTCGATCAACACTCAAATCGAATGAAATCGACTCGAGCTCGACTCAAATTCTTAACGATCTAAAACAAACTACTTAACACTCGACTCGAAAAGCTCGCGAGCTATTCGAAAAAAATGTTGTATTGTAATTTTAGATTTTTTAAATTACATTATTAAAAATATATTAAAAATACATTATTGATAATTATAAATTTTTAAAAATAAATTTTTAAATATAATATAAGATTTTTTGTAGGTTCAAATTCGAGTTCGAGTTCAAGCTTGAATCGAGCTCAAAATCGAGCTTCAATCAAGCTCGAGTCTTTTAGCTTCAATCGAGCTCCTGAATTGTTTTTGAGTTCAAATCGAATTTCAATATTATATTTCGAGTTCGAGCTGAACTTGATAATTTTTAGTTCGTGAGTTTTCGAATCGAGTCGAGCCTAATTTTAAACTTTTCGAATTCGAGTCAAGCTCAACAATAGTCGAACTCGACTCGTTTACAGCCCTACGGCTCATAAGTTTTACACCAGTCTTACCAGTTTGGTCGGTGGGCCTTACTGGGTGCCTGTCCCGCTTCAAGTGGACCATAAATGTTCGTTTCCGTTGGATTGGCGCTCTAAGTCTGCCCACCAAACACAACTTGCCAAGGTCCAAATGGAATGAAACTGTCCGTCTCTCTGCCTTCTAATAGCGCTTTGGAATCACAATCTAGAGTTATTAAACGAAGTTTTGGATTTTCTGTGGACATTATATGGACACCCTTTGACCAAAAATGTCCTTTCAAGATAGTTGTATGGGATGGGCATACATACGTTCACGATTTAGTTCTTGTGTTCTAGTTTCATGATAAATTCAAATTAATATAGAAAGCATAAAGTGACTAAAGGACATTGTTATTATAATATTGATATTTTAAAGACTTGATTAGAATATTTTTATAATTTAGAGTTCAGTATAAAATATGAGTCATAATCGTAGGCTGTTTGAAGAAATTAATCCCAAAAAATGTGTGTGTTTTTTTAATAATAAGGGTGACAACAAGGATTTATCTCAATAGAATCTTTCTTAGCCTTTACAATACACGTACACCCTATAGATACAACTACTTGAATAAGAAAGACCCTGTTTGCAATCAAGAATTTAACCTCTTGGCTGTTGAAACAAGAACTTGCAGGCGACATTTACACCGAGCTCGCCGTCGTTCTATCAAGCATCTCCTTGGCTTGTAAACGGATAGCTTCTTTGCTCCAAAGATCAAGCATCCTCAACCTCACCGGTGGCCAGGTTACTGTTAATGTCCAAGGAGAAGACCAGAAGAAGCTGGACGTTATATCCAACGAGGTTAGTCTTAGGTTTTATCATACCTGAGCAGGAAGTAACGTAAACCAGAGGACCATACCAACTTATCCGATTTCTGTTTCAAGAACTTCAACGTTAACAGGATCATGTCCTTGCACTAGACAAGCAAACCAAGAATAATACAACCCAAACAATGGCCAATAATGGTTTTAGCATGCTACATTGGCAGGTACACCAGCACACACACCAATCTTCCTCGGAAGCCCAGATGAAGTTCAAAAACTACAGAAGTACTTAGCATGAACCCCAAAGTATGAGTTTCAACTATTTTTCTAGTTGGGAGTAGCATATTTAAAAAACACAAGGATGACAAGAGAAATTCTCAGTTAAAGAATCGCGTGATTAGACAATCAAACTGCTATCAGCTGCCTACATGGCATCCTACACGGAAGGCATTTCATGTAGAGCATCATATCTAACAAAAAAATCATATTGGCCCATCGATGGAAGGCATTTCACACATAAGTTGATCTTTACAGAGAAATTAGCCTAGTTTGTTGTTAAGCATCGCTTGCACTGAGTGCCGCGGTTTACAGTCAGCCCACTACTCATCTTGATGGTAAAACCACTCAGTTTGTAGCAGAATAATTTTGTTGCTCCAAAGAACTCCTTTGACGTTTTGCTGCAAATTCAGGTTAAAGTAAACATGAATATATAGAGAAACAATAACTCTCAAAATGAAGACAGTAGGAGGATGTAGTATTATACCAGGGCTCAATATTTCTATGCATTTTGTTATAGACTTCACTGATGTTAGTGTGTTGGGTCCTGCAACCATAGCATATACAGAGTGAGCATACAAATATCAGTTTGGGATCAATAAAATTATGCAGGGGTGAGCTTTACCACCTGCGTTCATGTTATTCTCCGTAAACACTTCTGTGACAGTAGATGAAAACTTTGACATGACTTGACTAGCCCCCAGGTTGTCATCTCCCGAGACATTAGATGACCTGTGAGGCATGAATGAATTTAAAGATCAGTGAAAAATAACTACTGAAACTAGTAAAGAAATACACGGAGAAGTTAATGGTCAAAATATGCAATTTGATTGAAGTAGAACCAATACCCTGAAAGAGCAGCTCCAGATGTACACGACGTTGGTTTGCTAGGGTAGCCAAATCCTTCAGATCCAAGATCAAGATCCACTAACAGTTCAGAGAATGAGAAATTTTCTCCTAAAGCATCTAAATTTGGCAAATCCAGGTCAAAAAGATCAGCATCCATTTCATACTCTGATGTTGAAATCTCATTAACTATCGGTTTGTCCACATGCACTGCTGCATCAGAACCATCAAAGTCCAGCCTGCTCTTTACATGATCCCTCTTACCAAGCCTCTTCAAGCATGTCTTAACTGGTGAACAAGAGGAAATGCAATGATTCCTCTCAATTGTGTAGCACGTCATCTGTTTTAAAGGACTAACCGTAACTCTCTCAGTTGAAACTATAGTACAGTTAGGAGTAATCTCTTGAGAAGTATTGCTGTGATCACAGTTAGTAGGAGTATTGCTGTGACCACAATTAGCAGTTGAAGGAACACCCAGTGGAGTCATTGATTTATGACTCTGAGGGGAAACTGCTTGCGGGGGTGTCTTAGGACCTAAAGAATTAGGTGGAGGGGATGGCTGTGGCTGATTGAACAGACAATTGACAACACCAGATACGTGCATTGTTGATTCATTGGGCGTGCAACTGGGAGGTGTTGATTGATTTAAAGAGCTTGACTGTCCAGCTACTTGTCTATTCATTACATTATCAGTCTCCGGAAGCTTTTCCATTCCTGCAACAAACATGTCAAGGATGTTATGGCTGTATCACGGCATGAAACGAATATGATAAGGCATATAATGAATTAACCCTACCCTGGGTTGTTAACTTCCTAGAAGTTGATTTGTTGCGAGCTCTCTTTGCTGCTGCTGAGGCTCCGGTGACAGCCTCCAAGGTCCTCTTATTCCTTGTTAATGGCTGAAGTGTAACTGGCGTAAAGTAACTATTTCTCTCCATTCTGGAATTAGAAGGACCAGATACTGGAATAACAGTTGGTGTTCTATACGCAGGAGGGCCTAAAACAAGAGCATAAAAAAATACAAGAATCATTTAGCAAATAGAACATAAGAGGTGTGCAATTCAATAGTTAGATCATATAAGAGGTGTGCAACTGTAAAATCTCCCAGGGTACTCTAAGGCCTAATAATATCAGCTGGAAACTGAAATATTTATCAGAAACAAATTGCCACAAACAGCCAATTCCAAAGAATCCACGTACTAACTCTACATACATCTAAATCAAACTATAATTCAGAAATCGAGCCAAACTTATCTGACAGTTGATAAACATTTCAATCTTCAAAAAGTTTTACATGTTTCAACACATCAACAGATCATGGCTAAAGTAAGAGTTAAAATAAGGTGATCAATCCTAATTCAAGCTCGATATTTGTACCTGGGGGAGATATTGCACATGGATCTGATCGAGGAACCACGGTTACTGTTTTAGTTGCATTGGCATGAGAAATCACAGGCACTGATGCAGTGGCACTCGCATTGTAAGCGTTCATTACACTTTGCATTCCCTGCAAAAGGGACTGAACCCTGCATTTTTCTTGCTCCAAACGAGCTCTTTCCTGCTCTACTAGAACCTTTTGTTCTTTCAAACAAATATACTCGTCTAGCATCGCACCTAAACTTAACAAACTCTTCGGCGCCTATAGCAGCCCAAAAAAAATTAAAAATTAAGTATATAAACAACAATTTTTTAAGAAGCACAAGGAATTCGATTAATAGGGTGAGTACCTCTCGAACAGGGGATTTGGAGATGAGAGAAGAAGCTTCGTTTCTGAAAGTGGAACGAGTGCTGGAGTAGTTGTTATCGGAAAGGTAACGATCGACGATGAATGCGACTTGGACAGGAGTGACTTTCCCTTTGCCCAGATTCTCTGGCTTCTTGGATCTGCTTTGCTTCCCCATTTGCTTCTTTGGAAGTGAAAGGCATAGAAGAACGATAAAGGGGGTGTATTAAAGAGAGATTGGGGTGTGAGAGGGAAACTGTGAAATGGCGCCATGGCTGAGGTGAAATGAAAAGCGCGGCAGACTTTGAAAATTATTTTCTTTATCGATTCTATTTGGTTAACTCATATTTGGGGTTTTGCGTTTCCCGGGACTTACTCTTAGGACAGCTAATCAAAGGAAATATATCATTTTTAATACCTTAATTATTACTTCTATTCTGATTTGATATTTAAATTTTATTGTTTTTCAAAATCATATTTAATATTTAATTTATATTTCATTTTAGTATTCGTCGTTAAAAATTTAACGGAACTGTTGTACGTGATTCTTTATAGGTAAATTACATCATTCATCATTTATTAACTATCGTTTTACTCCTATTTTGATAACTAAAGTTTAAATTTTTTAAATTTAATTACTCATTTTTTAAATTGCTCATGTTTTAATCACTCTAATTTATTTTATTAATATTTTTATGACATGAAATTTAATATTATTACTTTATTAATATATAATTAAAAAAATTAAAATTATACCATAAATTTTAAATCACAAACCCCTCATGTCCTCACTCTTATCAACCTCTCCAACACACCCATTCCTTTCTTATTTTAATCATATATTAATAAAATAATAATTAAAACTCTCATGCCATAGAAAATATTAATGAAATAAGTTAGAGTGATTAAAATATAAGTGATTTGAAAGTTAAAAGATTAAACTAAAAAAATTCAATGATCGAAATAGAAGTGAGAAGATAGTTGAGTGATAAAATATATAATTTATTCATAAAAGAATGCAACATACAACAGATTCATAAATGTAAATATCAAACAAGATAAACGTAATAATTTGGGTGCTAAACATGTAATTTACCCAATATATAATTGCAAGTGTAATTAGGGTTATTGACCTTTATTAGTTTTAACAGTTGAGTGAATGAAACTAGCTACTTAATATAAGACTTAAAAAGATTGTGAATAATTCAAAAAAATAATATAATAAACATTTAATTTTGTAAATTAAATTATTAATAATATTAATATTTATATATTATTATTTTTTAAATGAAGTATAAGATTCTTATGAACTTAAAGTTATAGTTTAAACTTGAGTTTGAGTTTCAATTGAGTTAAGTCTGAGAATGTTTGAAATTCAAGTTTTTTGAGCTCGAGTCAAGTTTTAATTTTTTTATGAGTTCAAATCAAGTTTATAAATTTTAAACTTGCAAACTTTTAAGTTTGTTTATTGACTCGTTTATTTAATTTTCCTTTTCTATTTATTTTTTTACATTTTAAATATTGGTGAAGAGAGAAACTAAATTGAACGTAAGCTAAACTTTGGAGTAAATCTGAAGCCTAAAGAACTTAAGGACTAGTGGCATAAATTCACCATTTTTCTTTGGCTTGCAAATAAAAGAGTGATGATTGCCTAATATTAAATGAACGTTAAACAAACATGGTCGCAAACACTTAACAAATTAAAACTAACACGAACACCTTCAAAAATAAATATACGAACACGATATTGAAAAATTTAATGAATACAAACTGAATATGGACACCTTCAAAAATAAACAAAAGAACATGAAAACAACTTCGTTTGTTCAAGTTCGGTATTTACACCCCCTAATTGCGACTCTTCCTTAAGAAAATGGAGCAAAGTATTAAAGTCACATGTCTCATGTTCAAAGGTTCGAGTTTTATCTGGGAATTTGCTGAATTTGTTGGCCGCCTTAAGAAACTGAACCGCAAAACTGGAAAGGTATGGCATTCATAGCATGAACAAGTGAAGTAACGAAATCAAACATAGACTAACATGCTTTTATGCTTTTTGGCGTCAACCTGGAAACTTTTATAGCCTTAATAACCTAAAACATCATTTCTTGTGATTATGGTGTTGAAAGTAATCAAAGGTAGAGTCCAGCTGAATTGTTTCTCAACAGAATTTTTAAAATTGAGGGGGGCACCGCACATTCTCATTGACAAAAGGGACACCGAATTCTGTGCCCCAATATTAAATTAAAATAAAAAATGGTTAAATCGCACATTTAGTCACTGCACACTTTAGGGTATTTATAAGATTAGTCCTAAGTTTCAACTATAAATATCATAGCCCATTTAGCTTCAAAATCATCCCAAAACATTTCTTTCTTCCTATACTAGAGAGCTTTCTTGTGAGTAGTGAGTGTTTGTAAACACCTGTAAATTTTCTCTCTTAGTAAAAGATCTGCAGCAGCCCGGAGACGTAAGCACAATTGGCTGAACTCCGTTATCAATTTTCGGGTATTATTTTTCCGTTTTTATTTCGCATTCTCACAAATCTGGTTATAGGAAAATTACTTGTACTCGATTTATTTCCTAACAACTGGTATCAGAGCTTTTGGTTGTGAATTTTGTCAATTTTTCTGTGATGTCACTATTCATTACTATTCACGTGAATAGTGATTTTCGTGAATAGTGAAATTTGGTCGGCGATACGAGTTTGTCGACGGAGGTGTTCTAATACACGGCGGTTCACAGAAATTGTTAGAAACGATCCAAACGAAGCCAGATTCGAGTGGGAGCGATGGCTGCAGACGAAGGGAAGGTGAAAATTGAAAAGTTCGATGGTGCGGACTTTGGTTTTTGGAATATGTAGATTGAAGATTTTCTGTACCAGAAAAATCTATATCAACCCCTCTCAGGAAAACAACCAGAGGGCATGAAGAATGAAGACTGGGCTCTTCTCGACAGACAAGCCCTCGGAGTTATCCGAGTGACGTTATCCCGCAATGTTGCTTTCAACATAGCAAAGGAAAAGACCACGGCGGGTCTTATGGCGGCTCTCTCCAGTATGTATGAGAAGGCATCGGCCTCAAACAAAGTTCATTTGATGAGGCGATTATTCAATTTACGGATGGCGAAAGGGGCATCAGTGGCTCAACACCTGAATGAACTCAACACAATCACAACCCAGTTGAGTTCCGTGGAAATTGAGTTCGATGATGAAGTTCGAGCTTTAATTCTCTTATCATCTCTACCAGACAATTGGAATGCTACTGTTACAGCAGTAAGCAGCTCGTCGGGAAATAGCAAATTAAAATTCGACGATGTTCGGGATCTGGTATTGAGTGAAGAAATTCGACGAAGAGAAGCGGGTGAAGCATCAACCTCCTCAGCCTTGCACACGGAGTCTAGAGGGAGAACTTCAGAAAGAAATTCAAATCGTGGCAGATCCAAATCTAGACGGGGAAAATCAAGAACATGTAATAAAGATTTTACATGTTATAATTGCGGCAAGAAGGGTCACTTCAAAAGAGATTGCTGAGCACCGAAGAAAAATACCGGTGCACAGGAATCTGCCAACATGACAGAGGAGACAGGTGATGCCATGATTCTAATCGTCAACAGTCCGATTGAATCATGGATCTTGGATTCAGGGGCATCTTTCCACTCCACCCCATGCCGAGAAATCATGGAGAACTATGTCAGTGGTGATTTTGGGAAGGTTCATCTAGCTGATGATGAAACCTTGAAGATCGTCGGAAAAGGAGACATCCGACTAAAGCTGCCAAATCAGACCACCTGGAAGCTGACAGGAGTGAGACATATTCCTGGCCTCAAAAGAAATCTGATTTCTGTTGGACAGCTTGATAGAGAAGGTTATAGTACAACCTTTTCAGGCTGTGAATAGAAGATTACCAAAGGAGCACTCATCATTGCTCGTGGTAAGAAGACTGGTACTCTCTATGTAACCTCGAATTTAGAGAATATCATTGCAGTAGCAGATGCTGACGGAAAATCAAACCTATGGCACCAAAGGCATGGCCATATGAGCCAGAAAGGGATGAAGACCCTTTTGTCAAAAGGGAAGCTGCCGGATCTAAAGAATGTAGATGTCGGACTATGCGAGGATTGCATCTTTGGCAAACAAAAGAAAGTCAACTTTACAAAGATTGGCAAGACTCCAAAGGCAGAAAGGTTAGAATTGGTTCATACTGATGTATGGGGATCATCCCCAGTTCCATCTCTTGCAGGCTCACTATATTATGTCACCTTCATCGATGATTCAACAAGGAAGGTGTGGGTTTATTTTCTGAAGAAGAAATCAGAAGTCTTTGATACCTTCAGAAAATGGAAGGCCATGGTGGAAAATGAGACTGGTTTGAAAGTCAAGCGGTTGAGGTCTGACAATGGAGGAGAGTACAGAGACAGTAGATTCAGAGATTTCTGCGCAAACAATGGGATCAAGATGGAGACGACAGTTCCCATAACACCGCAACAGAATGGCGTAGCAGAGCGCATGAACAGAACTCTGAATGAACGTGCCAGAAGCATGAGGATACATGCCGGATTGCCCAAATTTCTATGGGCTGAAGCTATCAACACTGCAGCTTACCTGATCAACCGTGGGCCCTCAGTTCCTTTGGATGGCGGAATACCAGAGGAAGCTTGGAGCAAGAAAGAAATAAACCTTTCACACTTAAGAGTGTTTGGTTGTATTTCTTATGTACACATAAACTCTGCTGAAAGAAGTAAACTTGATGCCAAGTCCAACAAATGCGTCTTTGTTGGTTACTGTGGTGATGAGTTCGGTTACCGGTTTTGGGACTACAAAAATCGAAAGATCATCAGAAGTAGAGACGTCATTTTCAATGAAAATGTGATATACAAAGACAGGTCAACCGCAGAATCAGGTAATACCGAAGCTAAAACAAAGGAATTTGCTGAGTTTGAGGAGATTTCTGGAAATGGTGTTCAGATCAGTCCTGAAGCAGTTCAAGAGGAAGAACCAGGCACACCAGAACTGAGACGCTCCTCCAGAATTCCTAAACCAACCCAACGGTATTCACCTTCTTTGCACTACTTGTTGCTGACTGACAATGGTGAACCAGAGTGCTATGATGAAGCTATGCAGGTGGATGATTCAGTCAAGTGGGAGTCTTCCATGAAAGATGAGATGGACTCGCTTATGTCAAATCAGACATAG